GGACGGACGCACGGACGGACAGATGCACAGACGGACGGACGCACGGACGGACGATCATGCGATTCTACAAGCTGCATCTGACTTCGTCAGATGAGCTAAAAAAGCAAACTGGAAGTGGGGGGTTTCTGTGTAGATCACATTGCACACCATGTAAGCAACAGCTCACACTAGAAACACCTGAGAGATTAAAGTGTTTTGTATTTAACAATCATCAAAACCACAATTGAGCAATCACAACACAACTACAATTGTGAACTAGAAAGAAGGCACTCGGGGAGTGCGAATCCTCCGCATACACGATCACTACACGTGTGATATCAGAACGCTATTCTACAGTGCATTGAAATAAATCTATATCAGAACACTCTGCCATACACAACACAACACACAACAAGCATGGAAATACCGCCTGGAACCCCCCCGCCACGCGTTAGCAATGGTACGGTCCGTCTGCTATGACCCAGCGATGGAAATATAATTAATGACCCTGTGACTTTGACCAGAATCAATAGGGTTCTACTGCCCCATAAGATGGACCTGTGGACCAAGTTTGAAGTTTCTACCTCTTACGGTTGCAAAGATGCACCACGGTACGCACACACGCACACACGCACACGCCCGCCCGCACGCACGCACGCACGCACGCACGCACGCACGCACGCACGCACACAGTAAATGAGTGTACTATCCAGCAGCTAATTGATCATAATTGAAATGCCATAATCTACTTTAGACTACCAGCTCTGTTAATCCTTGACAAGTATTCATTTTCGGTCATATTTTACCAAGGTCAACGTCATCCATTAGAAGTAGCAACCTCAGCCTACAAAATATCACAGGTGTAGTGATCGCGTGTGTGGCGGATTCGCACTCAAAGAGTGCCTTCTAGTTTATAATTGTTAGGCATTCGTTTTTATAGCGACATGTATTTGTTTTTGTTCCAGCATATATCCTAGAATACATCATAACTTTTAAACATTACAATTTAGTTATGACAACACACCATATTTATGCATGCTACATGCCAATTAAAACGTCATGCTGGACAGGATTGACTGGTGTAAAAGGTTGTTTGTTGGAATATTTTTTCGTAAAAAATTCAAGTACTCTAAAAACAAACTTTTTCTGTTTCAAAAACAAAGTTATTTTAGAGAAGTACAAAATTTATTTAAAAAAATCGTTATTTAAAGACTGGATATGTATTAGGGGCGACCACACACCAGTAATTATTTTAATGTAATTTTTCATTAATATTTACCTATAAATATTAATATGTAGCAAAGATTTAGCCAATTTTAAACAAAACTGGATTAGGTTTTAAACAAAACCTTTTTAGCCTTTACTAAAAATAACTTAAAAAATATACAATGTAATTACAAATCACTACTACTATTAATTTACAGAAATTTTAAGTATCAATATTATGAGATGAAACAGCGACTTCATTAGTCGTTTTTGGTAACCACCAATCACTTCAAGTCCCAAATTAATAATCCCAATCATTAATCAATTTCTCCTGGAACAGAATTTTTCATCTTATCACTTATACTCAATTTTACCTAGACCTTCTCCCTTTTTCCTCAGTCTCGTCCACAATGTCGCTCTTCTCCTGGAGGTCTACATACGAATATGGGTCGTCACTCCATGCCCCCTTGTATGGATGGTAGCCATCATCATACGCTTCACACAAGTGCTCATCTTCAAGACAACGAAGGCTCTGAAGCTTGTCAATACCCACAGCTGTGCTAGCATCAGTGCTGATGCTTACATTGTTGCTGTCAATGGTGATCTTCTGCTGGTCGCTAAGGAAACTTGCCTGTGTTAGTTTATCGAAGTGGCAATGCAGAACCTGGCACTTGATCTAAAACGTTTGTAATGGAAAAGATCGATATAATCATTACAAGGTTTGCCTACAGCAGTAGCAGTACCTAGTACATAATTAAAAAATAAATTTGCTAAAATAATTGGGCAACTTAAATTTGTAATAATCTCGTTTACTACAGGGCAGATAAATATCCGTGTATAATAAAGGCCTAAAATATAGATACTTTAAATGGAGACCCTCCTGTTGAGTTGGTAGAATGTAACGTCTCCTTTTCATCAGCATCTGTCATTGGTATACTGAAACAGAGAAAATAAACGACATCACAATCTGAAAACAGATCTTTAAGACCATCAAGTAATTGCTAAAGGATCCTAAAGACCCACAATTAGAAAAAATGTTAAAAGTGAAAATAACTACACAGAATGTGGGTGACAATGTATCTCACAGTGTGACCTGCTCAGCAAAATGGGTACGTATGTAACATTGGTGTTTACGAACAGCTATGTGGCAGGAATTCAAGCTTTACGGAAGTTGATGAGGAGGAGTGACAGGCCATACGTCATGCAGGTGTCCTCTAGCAGGTAGACAGAAGCGGTGATCACCTGGTAGTGCAAGTAGAGGCAGTAGATGCAGAGGCCAAGAGAAAGAGGAAGAGATGAGGGGGACGGCTGAGCTGAAACGAGAGAGTAGGAAAAGAAGGGAGCCACCAAGCTAAATAGCAAGAACAGGAGAAGAGGGAGACATCCGGGCTGAAATGAGAGTCGGAGAAAAGGCAGACACCCAAGGTAGCAACATGAAACTTACCTCGGCCCATCTCCAACCTCTTGAATGGGAAATCGAGCACACTCTTTTGCATCTGCAATTAAGACAGCAACATAGTTTATGCAGTGTACATTCCTCGATGTTGTAATATCCTGATCAAGCTCATGTTAAAACAATATAATGGCAGGTTAAGATATCTTGCACATATGGTAGAATTTTCTCCAAGCGTACAAGCAAAAGTAGAAGCGAATCCAGTAGTCCAACCCAATGCACGACCCAGTCGTGATCTATATACTCACACATACACACACTGATAATAATCGAACAGTACCTCTCAACGGAACATGGCCAAGTGTTGACTCTCGTTCGTCACTCTCAATAGGCTCCAGTTTTGCTGCAGTAGTGCTCCCCTCAGCAGGAGTTGGCATTTCCTGCTTTTCGGCAGACTCATTAGTGCTGGGCAATTCCAACTTGTCAGTGCACTCGCCCGAAGAGAGTGTCTCTACCTTGCCGCTGTACTTCTGCAATGATATAAGATCACCTGGCCCTGAGCTGTGGCTCTAGACAACACAACTTTTGGCTTAACAAGGCAGACAGCTGAAACCCCACACCTGTGAAATTATATGTCTCATGTGCATACTGATCATAACACTGGGATTTTTATTACCTCTGCCAAGGGGTTGGCAGGAGGTTATGTTTTCACTGGTGTTTATTGGTTTGTGGGTTTGTGCGTTTGTTTGTTTGTGGGTTTGTGCGTTTGTTTGTTTGTGTACAGCCTAACTGAAAAAGTTATGGACGGATTGTCATAAAATTTTCAGGATAGGTCAGAAATGGGCGAACTTAGAATTGATTAGATTTTGGTGGTGATCCGGATCCAATTAGTTAATAAAATTTTCAGGATAGGTCAGAAATGGGGTAACTTAGAATTGATTACATTTTGGTGGTGATCCGGATCCAATTAATTATTTAATTAATTAATTAATTAATAAAATTTTTCAGTGAGAGAATTCAGCTGCCTTGGCGGAGGTCTGCGCTCTCCGAGTTCTCTAGTTTTCGATGCAAATCTCCTATTGAGGTGTACACTATTGGCTACACAGCCAGCTCGATACATACAAGTTGTGGTTTTATAGAATCGTCCCCGTGCCGTTGCGGGAGGGCAATGGTGAAGTCACAGTGTTTGCCGATTCCATCCGTGACATAAGATATCTCTTCCAGGTTGCTGTCTTGCCTTGAACCGGACCCCGATTCTTCGGTATTGTACCTGACAAGGCAATCCCACAGGTGATAGGTTGACTGCTTTTACCAGTGACACAGTGGCAAGAGCAGGCTGCATGATTTCTAAGCTTGCACTTGAATGCAGCACACGAGCGAAAAATCGATTACACCAACTCACAAACTTCAACGGCTATTGAAGAGAGTGCCAACGGTTAGAACATTAAGCATGTGACAAGGGTACGCTTCCGATTAGACACCTACAGAGCTTCCTTGTCATCTGTTTGCCACTTTCCTGTCTTGTATGAATTGCCATTACTTAACTCTCCATTAGTGAGTAGACCAGCGGATCCGGTTTGTATCATGCGGCATGGCCTTGACTGCATCTCAATGTTGCCTGTGAAAACACGACACACACACACAGTAGATGAAAAGCCACGTAGACAGGATGGTTGCAAGAGCATATCATGTAATTTTATTCAGATGACACGAGTTTGTAGATTAAGAATGCACTCAATTCTTTTGAAATAAATTACTTTTACAGTTTAAATCTATAATTTCTTAAGTGCTGGTGTAGTAGAACCCTGCAAGATTCAAAACAATAACATTTGAGATTATTACAGTAGCAGCATAGTACAATCTCTTAGAAATGAAGATCTAGATCAGATTAAATGTCTTAAGAAATGCACTTGTGTAACTGCATTTCCAGATTCAAAATATTTACATTGGTATTTTTTCAGGGTAGCAGAATGTGGTTCCAACATATTTAGAAATGAAAATATGCTGGACATGTGCAAGGACTTTGCGTTTATTTGCAAAAATGTTGCATGATTACCTTCTCCATGATTCCCATGTTTCCATGCCCGATACTTGACCAAGGCAATGCTTAACAAGGCCATAAAGGTAAAGGCAACAGAGATGATTATGATGAGCAGTAATGTCCTGCTAGAATGCGCAAGCAAAACATGCTCCTTCTCCTCCGCTCCAAACACTTGAGACAACGGCTTCTCCTGTGGAGGCACCAAATAGGGCTCTGCAAATGGGTAGCCTGTAACAGAAAATTCTGAATATTTACTTACGCTACTATTTACTTGGCCAGCAAAATATTAGTCGTTTTTGGTATGTTATGCTCAGGGAATATGAATACGACAAAATAAGGGGTCACAAAGAAAAAAATGTTTCATTTAATAACTATTAGGAGAAAGACAACAGCAAAAATTTCGTACACATTTTCATGAGCTATAATATTATTTGGTTATATTTCATATAATTTATATTAAATTTTCCTATTGGTGTATCATGATGGTCATATTGCTGTCCCCTATGCGTGCTTTAGTTTTGATCTCGTCACCAAAGGATTTCATGTAGAGACAAAAATATTATTTTATGTGTCAGCATGAAGAATTTTGTACATTGCAAAATTCACAAATACTGTATATCAACCCACAGTGGAAATCAGCTAGCACCACCTGTAAATACCATTACTATATTTTTTCACATTTTCCTTATTTTAAACTATAGTCTTACTTTTACACTGTTCTTTTTCTCTTGTATACTCAGTGCATGGATGGCACATGTGATCCTTGCTGCCATCAGTGCGAATCACCATAAATGACCTAGCCAAGTATAACGTAAAGGCAAATAATGAATACAATTTTAGTTTACCCAATTTCTATACACTTTTACCAAGAACACATATTTCAAAATGTTTAGGCTTGAAGGTTTGATATATATACATGTTATATCTGGCATTGTTTAATCACAGAGAAACATGTCCCGGAAATATAGGACAACTAGATGTGTGCACAATACATGAATAAGAAGTTCACTCATGAAATACACTGACATACCCTGGCACACACGTCCCACATGCTGCATCCTGATCTTCAGTGCAGTTGCGTCTGGTGACCTTATACAGATGACGCTCACACTGAGTACAGGCTAAACAAATCTGTAACTCTTGATTATAAAACTCTGTCATTACCCTTCCATTGGCTACATAAGGCGGATGGCACTTTGGGTAGAAAGCATCACAAGTTCCTGAAACACACAATTGTAAAAGAGAAATTAATACTGCAGCCTAGAAATTTGACTTGCAGCCACGACGAGCCATAGACATAAAAAAACATCCGACTAATAATTAGCATAAATGAACAGTGTCAGGCAGTGAAAAAATTAATTTTTTTCTTTCCGGGGCTCTTTTTGCAAACCCCCCCAAAATTTCGGGGGCTACTTTTTCATTTTCCAGGGCTCTTTTTCCACTTTCCAGGGCGACTTTTTTCCAGGGCTGTTTCCTCAAATGTACACACAAGCACAGTAGCTATAATACCTTGCTAATACACACTCGTGGGGGCGCGCACACAGTGCCACACACCACACACACGTCACACGCACGCACGCACGCACGCACGCACGCACGCACGCACGCA